TAAATTAGCTCCAATCAAAGAAGTATTTTGAATATTTTTATTATCAAAACATTATTTCCTCAAATCAACATTAATTTTAGCTAATCAATTAAGCGAATTTTATCCACATTATATAAAATTATCATAAAAACTGTGAGGCGAACTAGAAATTAAAAAAATTCATTTACTCCTATTTATTCTGATATTTTTTAAATTAGATCCTCTTTAATTTTAATGTAGATAGATTTAAAATAATTATTTTTATTAAAGTCATGTTTAATGATTTTTTAATTATGTTAATAATTTTCTTTATGTTATTTTTTACAGCATTTAGCTATTATTGCTTATCAACATGTTCTAAATTTTGAATTAAATCAGTTTATAATTTATAATTCAATTAATTCTCATCTTTTTCAAGGAATCCTATACTATCTAAAATTTTGTATCTTTTTCATCATTTCTCTTATCACACAATATATATTTTCGTCAATATCTTTTGATTAAGCTAAAATTTTCATACAATTCTTTCTCCTCCATGAATAATAAATAATATTTAATATTTAATATCCATTAATTTTTAATTAATATAATAATTATGTAAAATTTAATAATAATTATAATAAATATTTTAGAATTGATTAAGGGTAAAAACAATGTTTTCTTCAATCAAGACTATAAACGTAGTAAGCAATTATTTTAAAGTTATGCTGAAAATATTGGTATTAAATTTTAATCCAATATTAAAATTAGTTTATTAATTCGTACATTCTCAAAACAATTTTCTTATTAAATTAAGAGATGAGCATTAAATAAACATAGTGTTCTAAGGAAAAAATACCAATTATTCTTTCAATATCAAAGATCTATTGGAATGAAAAGTTAAGAAATGATTTAAGCCTTTGGCTGATAGAACAGTTTTAAATTTAAGGTAATATTTGAATAACTGTTGGAACTCAATTATTTCCAAAAGAGTTTTTTTGTTGGAATTGTACTAATCTTAAAGAAATTTAAGATTAAATTTCTGCACTTTAAAACTATAATTATGAATAGTCAAAATAGAGTATATAGATAAGTTTAAATAATTGAATGATCAATTCTAAATTCCATAAATAAGTAGCAGAAAATTAATATAGTGAAAAATTCGTATATCATAGTTACTATTTATCCCTATTTACTTCAAAACTTAATTTAATTGTAAACAAAATAATATATTTGAATCATTTACGCATATATTAGGTCTTCAAAAATAATTCAAGTAAACATTTTCCTTTTGAATTTAACCACCATTTTCACTTATACATTAAAACTATCTTTTCTACCTTTACAAATACTAACCGAAATACAACAATTCTTTTCACTTTTTTGAATTCCAAATTTCATATTTGCTAAGAGAGATTAATTGGAGTTTTGATCAATTGGAAATAGAAATTAGATGAAAATAATAAATAAAATGTAGTAAATTATAATAAAGACTATGTTTGGACAAAAGTATATAGATTTAAAGTATGATATGTAACTCTTTTTGGTTAGAGGAATGATTAATTACTATTATTCAAATATTTATTATATCGTACATCTATTAAACCTATAATGTACAGTAAATCAATTTCTTGTACTTTAATAATAAAATTGCAATATAATACCTTAAAATATTATTTCAATGTAATCGATATATAGATATGGAATTTTCATGAAATATTCAATACTTACTAGCATTTATTAGATTTTTAATTAACTTTCTAAAAAAAACTTCCTTTGATTTCAATAACTATCATAAATCAAAACCTTAATGGGGTATAAATTCACTATTTTAGATTTTTGCTCCTTTGGCTTATAAAGTTGGATATTAGGAGATGGGTAGGATTGTAACAATTGAATAAACTAAAAAAAATAATAAAATATTTAAAACCTTGGTCTAAAAAGGAATTATTCTAATGGAGTGTTAAAGATTTAACATTAATATCTGATAAATTCTAATCAGAAGATTCAATTTGCTTTTCTATTTTAATATCCCTTTAACAGGTCAACTTAGATATTTTTCTTCCTATTTTTATACATACCATAAACTGATCGACTAATCTGCACTGCAAGACGCTAATATAGCATGATCAGGTGAGAAGTATACTGAACTAACCAAATTAAAATGACCATTTAATTTAGATTTTTGTTTCCTGCTTTACATCCCATAAACAGATAATGTTATCTTTATTACAAGATGCTAATGTATTACCATCAGGTGAGAAGCATACAGAAAAAATACTACTTTTGTGACCATCTAATTTAGTTAACTCATGTATTTTTAAATTATTCCATTTACAATCAAATATTAAACCCTTATTTAAATTTATTCCATTTATATCAACA